TAACTCGAAAGAAAGTCTGTTGAATCCTGAATTTGTCGCGGTTGCTGATGCGGGCTTTGACTGGTTTTCTGTGTTACCTGATCAGCCGCCGGTTCAGATCGAGCATTGATGCGAGATTGTCACGCAAACGTTGGCCGGAAACAGCAGTTTTGCAGTTCAGTTTGAAGGGGTGGTTGAGCGGGGTGGGGTTTTGGCCTCAACTAGCCGGACTGCACACTGTGTAATCGCCCTGCCGAGGAAATAACACTGTATAAGCATACAGCGCCGGCTAGTGAGGCTTGCCATGTTACAGAAAAAACGCGTAAAAAAAAGCCTCCCTCGCCTGTGTTGGCCCAACCCATCCAAATTCTCTTTCTAGTTCAATATGTTAGGTTGATCGAATCCATAATATCTTCATTATTCTGCGTTTTTGAAGCCCCGCCCACTTACAATTCACCCACATCTTAATGCGCAAAAAATTTGCCTATACCCAGTTACCTTTGACACACTCCAAGCTCACCTGAAAAAGGTGGCAACCAATGACCGGTTGCAAAAAGAGCTTCGATAGCTGTGGTGGAGATGAATATCGGCTCTGCCTCGAATCAGCTAAAATCAGCTTTGCACCAGGGAGAACCTGAATAAAATCAATTAGATACACGGATTTAAACTAACATAAGCAAGCGCTGAGGCTCACGTCATTAGATGTCCGCATTGGGAGACGTACGTGGACAAGTTAGACGACAGTGCAATGCATGTGGAAGCACAAGTGCAGCTGCATTCGAATGAATCCGTGGCGCGGCTAGTGGCTTTTGCCGGCCCCTATTTTTTCTGGGCCACTGTTTTCAGCATTACATTGGGGATTTTCTGGCTGCGGTGAGCGGCTACGCGTTGGGTATTGCTCAGGCAAATTCCCGCCGCATTAACCACTTCAAAGCCTGGTCGTACTGGTCGAACAGTTCGGTTTTATCCATCGCACAAGACAGATGGTACAAACCCGCGAGCTCAGGTTCGCCTAAGCTGCCATCAACGACGATCGCAATGCTTGAATGGACCCTTGGCCGATAGGTCGACAGCGTAAAATGGCGTAATGCTTCCTCCGCTGCACGGTCTCGTGCAACCTGCACACCGCGCAAATCTACCAGTTGTGGCAGATAAGGGTCGAAGCCCGGGTCAGCGAGGACGTCCTCACCGAGGCTAACCAGACTGGGCAGATTAATTTCAGCTTCACCTCTAATGGTGACCAGACCATCTTCAAGGTTCATGTGATAGCCGCAAGGCATGTGGGATCCATAAGCAAAATACTTTAGTAACTATAGTTCACCCTCAGCGCTTGAACTGTGCGCCTGCGCTCACCTTGTCTGTAGATTTATGGCATTGGCGTAGTAATCCGCTCTGCTGCTTGGAACAATGCAGCGGGCACACTCAACGGAAGGTAAAGATTAATGCGGTACGTCATTTATGGCGCTGGTGGTATCGGTGGCGTTGTCGGGGCGCGGTTGTTTGCCAGTGGCGCAGATACGACGCTGATTGCGCGGGGTGAACATGGTCGGGTGCTGCGCGACCGGGGTTTGCGTCTGGTGGCGCCAGACGGCGTTGCCACTTTGCCAATTCCCACAGTGGAGCACCCCAGTGCGGTAGATTTTGATGATCAGACGGTAGTCATGCTGTGTATGAAATCCCAGCACACGTTGCAGGCATTAGAAGATCTCGCGCGCTGTGCACCGGCTGGGATTCACGTGCTGTGTATGCAGAATGGTGTTGCCAATGAATCACTAACGTTGCGCTTTTTCGCCAATGTTTATGCCAGCGTAGTTGTTTTGCCTGCTTTGTTTCTCCAGCCTGGTGAAGTGGTCACCCATGCAGATGGTGCTGGTGCGGTGCTGGATACGGGGTGTTTCCCTCGCGGTACAAATGCTGTCGTGGATACCATTGCTGCGGATCTAACCACCGCCGGTTTCAGTGCCCGGCCGGATGCAGAGGTCATGCGACAGAAATACGGCAAACTGCGGGTCAATCTTTTGAATGTGCTGCAGGCAGGCTTGACGGACTTCAACGCATCGAAACCAGTACATAAAATGTTGCGCGACGAAGCCTCCGCGTGTTTTGCGGCAGCCGGCATTGATTGCGCAAACCGCAAAGAAATGGCCGAGCGACAGCAAGGTGTTTTCACCATGGTTGATATCCCAGGCTACGAGCGCACCGCTGGGTCTTCCTGGCAGAGCCTTGCGCGGGGTACCGGAGATATTGAAACGGAATACCTCAATGGTGAAATCTGCTGGCTGGGACGTCTGCATGGTGTGCCGACCCCGGCCAATGATGCCTGTGTCGCTATGGCGCGTGCGCTGGTGCGGCGCAATGCCGGACCTGGGCTTTTGTCATCTGCCGAGTTTTTAGCGCAAATTGAAGCGGCAACGCCCGGGGTTGCGAGTTAACAGTATTTTCGTTTTGTGGTCTGGTGTTTGCGCTGCGCGGCAGACAGCTGTTCACTCTGTTTGATGGAATAACCCTTGCGACGCTGAGCGGCAATTTTGGCGAGTTCCGCTTTGGCGTGGTTACAGGCCTTTTCTGCCACAGCAGCCTGCTTTGCCAGCACCTGCTGCCTGTGTTGCAGGTTAACCCGCCGTTGTTTGCTGGCCTTCATGGTGCGATCAGACAAGTCTTTCAAGTGTCTGAGTTCTGCTGCTGTCAGCGGGGGGAAACGGGTTACCGCCTCCTTCGGTGGTACGTAGCGCTGCTGGCCGGCACAACCGCTATCTGTAAACAGCAACTGGCCGTTGGTTTGCGTACATTGGAAAATCGGGCGCGCCACCTGGCTTGACCAGGCAAACATGGGCACGCTGCACAGCAGAATTAATACGCCCTTGATTAGAGGTATTGTGCTGGGTGGTGCTTTTCCAGGCAGGCTGGAAAACGTAGTTGTTGTTTTGACCATGGAGCCAATTTAGCTCAGATGCTCAGAGCGTATCAGCCGCCTTTTTACCCCAGGTGTGTAGGCACTTGTCAGTGGTGGAGGTAAGCGTGTTCGAACTCGAAATTATCTGTACACGCTGTTCACCCAGGCTCTGCGGGCCCGGGGTGAAATGTTTCTCGCAGCAGGCTTCTGGTTACAGGCTGTCCAGCCACTCGTCGTCGGAACCTTCGTTGATATCAGCAAACAACGGCGTCGACATGTAGCGCTCTGCGGTATCGGGTAGCATCGCGAGGATGACACTGCCGGCTTCTGCCTGGTCTGCAACCTTCAAAGCCGCAGTGAGTGTAGCGCCTCCGGATATGCCGGTGAAAATCCCTTCCTGCTGCGCAATTTTCAGCGCATTCGCCATGGATTCTTCATCATTGATGGTGACAATCATATCCGCCACTTCGCGGTCTAACACACTGGGAATAAAATCTGGTGTCCAACCCTGGATTTTGTGTGGCGACCAGTCGCCACCCGATAACAAGGCAGCTTGTTCCGGTTCGGTGGCGACAACTTTTAAATCAGGTCGGGCAGCTTTCATCACGCGCCCAGCGCCACTGAGTGTGCCGCCTGTGCCCCATCCGCTGACCCAGTAGTCCAGTCGTTCTCCAGCGAAGTCTCTGAGGATTTCTGGACCGGTGGTGTTGGCGTGATAAGCCGGGTTGGCAGGGTTTTCAAACTGCCTGGTCAGGAACCAGTTATGTTTTGCGGCAAGCTCTTCGGCCCGTTTCACCATACCTGAGCCGCGCTCTGCTGCAGGCGTGAGAATTACTTTTGCGCCCAGTGCGCGCATGATCTTGCGCCGCTCAACGGAAAAAGACTCTGCCATGGTGGCAACAAAGGGGTGGCCCATCACTGCGCAGACCATGGCCAGCGCGATACCGGTGTTGCCGGAGGTGGCTTCAATAACGGTTTGCCCCGGCGCAAGTGTACCCTTGTCTAACGCATCTTTGATCACGGCATAGGCAAGGCGATCTTTGACGGAAGACAGTGGATTAAAAGCCTCTACCTTCACGTACATCTCAACATGGCTCGGAGCAATGCGGTTAAGTTTGACAACGGGCGTATTGCCGATGGTTTGTAATATATTGTCGTATTTCACTGTGGGACTCCGGCTGCTGGGCTTTGAGTGGGGTTGTATACCTTTTGCGCCTGCGATGTACAAGTTGTGCGGAGCCATGGGGCAAAACCCTGTTGGCATAAGCTCATAGCAGACTCAGGGTTCAAGTAGCTTGGCACTTATAGCCTGGAGCAATTGGTGGTCGAAGTGCTGATCTGCCGGTGAGGCGGAATTGACGGTGACCGTCATGCGATCGCTTTGCTGAGGTAGCGCAAACAAGGTGATGGCAACACTCTGCTGTGCTTCACCTTCTGCGTATAAGATGACAAAGCGGTCTGTATCGGCTCGTTCTTTAATAGTGATGGCTGAGCTTTCCAGGGCGCGCACGACGATGTCAGCTGCGCCGATGAATGGCCTGTCTATGCTGGCTTGTGCGGCGCTGGCTAATTGTGAGGACGCCATCAGCAGGCCGACCATTAACCACAGCGGGTATCGCGAAGCATCGAAACTGTTCAGGTTAAGCATGCTGATGACCGCTGCGCATGTTGCGTATGTGGGCAATCATTAAGAGCGTGACACCGATAACCGTGAGCGCAATTTCCATATGCTCGCCGAACCAATGTGTGACCGCAACAAACATCAGGGTGAGACCGATGGCACCCATCATCAGGGTTAAGGCGCTACTGTGCCGCTGATAACCGCGCCACAACGCCAGCGCGCTGATCGGTATGGCCAGCAGAAGAAGCGCCCAATGCACACGAGTTTCGCTGTGATTCAGCCAGCCGCTCAACAAAGGACCTAACAGCACAGCAAAAGGAATGGCCAGGCAATGCAGCAGACACAAGCCCGATAAAAACACGGCAACGCGGTCTAAGCTGTTGGTGGTTGTGTTTTTGGGTGGCGTCATGAGATTGCGTTTCGCAAAAGGGCGACTAAGCTAGCGCGACTTATCTCCTTACGCAACTCTCTTTAAGCGACTGGGGATTTCCCTACATTGAGTTGACCATGTCTGATACCGATCAACAAAAATGGGACCAGCGATATACACAGCAGGTCCAGCGCGAAACGCCAAGCCCCGCGCCATGGCTGGTGGAGATGTTGCCAGAGTTGCCGGCAGGCACTGCACTGGATCTGGCCTGCGGACGTGGTGGCAATGCCATTTATCTGGCTGGACGTGGTTATACAGTCGATGCAATCGACATATCGCCCGTGGGGCTGCAATTGGCTCAGGAGGCAGCGCTTTCGGCCGGCGTGAAGGTGAACTTCTCCTGTCAGGACCTGTTGGCGGATGTGCAGATCAGCAACTGGCACTACGATCTTATCGTGATGTACCACTTCATGGCCCCCGCGCTGTTGGCGCGTCTGCACGAGGCATTGCGACCGGGTGGTGTGCTGATGGTGGAACAGCACATGAGCGGTTTTCCCGGTGCTGCAGGTCCCGGCAGCGATCGATTTCGTATTGCGCCGGGTGAACTTGCGCAGGCCGTGTGTGGTCTTGAAGTTGTTCGGGTGGAAGAAGGACTGTTCTCCCGGGGCGAAGCTGCACCCTTCGCCCTGTCTCGATTACTCGCTCGACGGGTGCGCTGAGCGTACACTGGCCCCATCGCTGAGCGGTTGTCACAACGGACAGACTGCCAGGAACAATATAGCTGAGCTGGATTAATATGCGCGATATTCCAACCTTTAACCTCGGTCGCTATCTAGCCGGGTCGATGGACGCAACAGAGCAACACACGGCACTTGCAGACGTCGCCAAAGCCTGCGAAGACCACGGCTTTTTTCTCTTAAGTGGCCATGGCTGTGATGCACTGATCGATTCAGTGTTTGCTCAATCTGAGCAATTTTTTGCTTTACCCAAAGACGCCAAACAGGCGGTATATCGAGATGAGCAGAACCCTCTGGGTTACTACGATCGCGAGCTGACGAAACAGAAGCGTGATCAGAAGGAAGTTTTTGACTTTAAAGCCGGTGGCCATCAGTCGAGTAATCCGGCGCGGCAAACCCGATGGCCTGCTGAGTTACCCGGATTCAAACTGACGTTGTCTGAATTTTTCAGCTGCTTTACGCGTCTGTCTGAGCAGACTATGGCGATGATATTCACGGCACTTGGCATACCTAAGACAGATATCCAGGTATTGTGTGACAAGGGTTTTGGCGACCGCCATACCAGTGCGGCAAGGCTGAACTACTATCCCGCAGAAGATCCCGTGCCTGCCGCCGAGCGCGCCGATGTTTCAGCATTAGGTGATCTGGCGCTGCACCATCATACCGACCCAGGCGCCATAACTCTGTTGTTGCAGGACGACCATGGCGGGCTTCAGGCGCTGTCTAAAACGGACGGTTGGATTAATGTGCCGCCGCAGCCAGGAACCATAGTTGTGAACGTCGGCGACGTTCTGCAGGTGTGGACAAACGACCGCTGCACCGCCGGTGTTCATCGCGTTTTATCGGTGGCCAGTTCGCGTGGACGTTACAGCACGCCATTTTTCTATCAACCCAGGGTAGATGCGCTCGTTGAACCCTGGCTGGCAGCGGATGAGACACCCCACTACAACAGTTTTTCATGGCGGGATTATATTCGTGGGCGGGTAACCGACAATTTTGCAGATTACGGTGAAAGCGACATCCAGATTGACCGCTACCGCATAGCCGCTGAAGCTCAGTCATGATTGATGCCTCGCCGCTCAACCAACAATTCACTGACAAAACAATGATTTGGATAAAGCACCCATGACCAGAACACCACGCGCGCGCACCATTGAAGAGTTTGTGGCTAATCTTGCCCCTTCTCCAGACGATGAAGCGCCGAATTACAAATCCTACACACCGCAATCGGGTGATGTTTTCATCAGCAGCTGGGCGAAGAGTGGCACAACTTTGTTGCAGCAGATGTTTCACCAGCTGCGCACCGGTGGAGATATGGATTTTGACGACATCAGTCGGATGACGCCCTGGGAAGACACTGCCCTGATGCTCGACTTCGACATGACTGTGCAGCAGGTGGCTTCGCCAAGAGGATTTAAATCACATCGTGATTATCAGAGGCTTCCACCAGGCATGCGTTATATCGTTAGCCTGCGCGACCCGAAAGAGACCTATGTGTCCTTCTATCGCTTTATGGATGGCTGGCAAATTGAGCCGGGCGCTATCCCGATGGAAGATTTTCTACCGATCTGGATGTCGGGCGGTCCGGGCGGCTGTGACTATGTCACCCACCTGCTGAGCTGGTATGCGCGCCGCAACGAAGCGGATACTTTGCTCGCGAGCTATCAATGGGTGGTTAAGAACCGCGCGGAGATGATCCGCCGGATGGCAGAGTTATGCGGCATAGAGCTGACGCCGGAATTGGCCGACCTGGTACTGCATCGCACCTCCCGCGAATACATGGTTGAGCACAAAGATAAATTTGATGATGCAATGGTCAGCGCTGCCTTAGAGCGCAAGCACGGCATCCCTGCAGACAGTGACTCCAGCAAAGTCCAGGCGCAAGGCAGCGATGCCAAGGTGCTGCCCGACAGCGTTGCCCAAGCCATAGATGCAATGTGGGCAGACCAGGTGGCCCCTGTGACAGGTCATGCTGACTTTGCATCGCTGGCGCGCAGCATTGACGAACGAGGCTAGACTCGCGGCTTAAGCAAGTCTCACGCGGATTAACTTGCCTGGGGGTTAAAACACCGCCAGCGGGTTCAGTGGTGAACCCGTGCCGCCGGGTACCCGCAGCGGCGCGCCGACAAACAGAAAGGTCGAGCGACCGCTTGCAATGGCTTGTTGTGCAACGGCTTCCAGGTCCAGGTTGTCAAGAATAGGCATTCCGAGGCCGACGAGTACCAGTTCGTGTAAGGGGTTCACGAGACCCTCAACGCCAGAAGGCATTACATCCGATACCCCGTCGCAACCAAGCACTGCGACATCACGGGCCTTTAGCCACCCAGCGACGGAAGCATGCATACCTGCCGCTGCAGCAAGGAAATTGTACGGCCCGTCTTGTTTGACTTTAGCCCAGCGTCCGGTGCGAATCAGTAGTACATCGCCGCTGGAGATGGTTACACCGCTTTGCTTTTCCCATGCCTCGAGGTCTGCCACGGTAATAGCAGCGCCCGGCTTTAGAAAATCGACGCCCAGCATGTGTGGAATATCGACCAGCACACCACGGGTGAATACCCCGTTTATGCCTGCATTGTGTATGCCCAGTCGCTGTGCGCCGTTGGCTTCGGCAGCTTCGTAGGGAACGTTGTTGTAGAATCTGCCTTTGTGAGCGAAGTGCGGCAGGCCATCCATGTGCGAATGGGCAAAGCCATGGTATTCAACACTGTACTTGTCGCCAGCAACCTGATGGCCGCCAAACTCCGCTCGTGACAGTTCGTGTTCAAACGGATTGGCGTTGAGCGTATCCTGGGTTTTGTTTAATTCCAGCGCCATGGATACGGTAATACCCTCAGTGACCAACCTGGCTGCAGCCAGGCGTTTTGCAGGCGTTATCAGATTGAGTGTGCCCAGCTCGTCGTCCTTGCCCCAGCGTCCCCAGTTTGAAATGTCCTGCATGAGTTGATCGAATTCAGCCCGACTCATTGCGGGTGGTTCACCCACCGCCGAGGCGGGTAGGCTCAAGACACTGGCAATGATGAGTAGAAGCGCGGTCGCGCCATAGTGCGAAAGTTTCATCTCCGTTCCCCTGATTCACCCTTAATGCATGGAGTGTGTCTGAAAAGCTTGAGTTTCTAAAGCGCTTGTAGTTTGCGCCCGTTGGCGGCGCTTTCTGGTCGATCAGTGCACAGGCTGTCATGGTTGCGACGCTGATCCTTTTTGCCCTTGTCGATCCAGGGTATGGCAGGATTGCCTTGTACTTGTTTAAAAAAAGCTATAAAAGCCGAGTTAACAGCAGCGTGGTTGCATCGGATACAGCTCGAGCGATCATTTGATCGATAAGGAAAGTAAGGATGCACAGTTCTGCTACAACATGGTTTGAGGGTGGTTGTCACTGTGGCAAAGTTCGCTTCAAGGTTCGCATCGATACGCCTGAAGCAATTGAATGTAATTGTTCTATCTGTGTAAAAAAGGGTTTTATCAATGTGATCGCTGCGCCAGAGCACTTCGTGCTCTTGGCAGGTGAAGAAAATCTATCGACTTACCGTTTTAATACGCAAACAGCCGAGCATCGATTCTGTAAGACATGTGGCATTCATCCGTTCAGCAGACCGCGTTCGCACCCGGGAAGTTACGATGTTAATGCCCGATGCCTGGATGCCGGTATTGCCTTTCTGACAGTAGAACCCTTCGACGGCCAGAACTGGGAAGACAACGTCGCGTTGATAGCCGGGGATCCTCCGGGTTAGAAGAAACTCATTGGAGCAGGTGGCGGCGCAAACTGTACAAGCGCAACCACAGCTGCCGCCACGAGACTCCCGACAATGACTGCGCGTATAAGGTAACTGTGAGGGATAGCTTGTTGCATATGTTCATTCGGCAGTGCTTTGTGACCGGTGATCATTGGCTTGATGAGTTGCGTGCGTTTACCCCATTGGTACCAGATGATGGCGCTCAGATGAATCAGCACCAATGCCTGTAAAACGTTGAAGTTAATGTGATGAATGCCAGCGAGCTCACCTGCGGTACTGTTGCTGACGATGCCGTTGTAAGGCCCGGCATAAAAAATGTCGTCGCTGATGAATAAACCGGTGGTCGCCTGAGTTGCAACAACGCCCAGGAACAAGACTGTCGACCAGCCGCCAATAGGGTTATGACCGACATAAGTCGAAGGGGTTCGATTCAGCAGTGCTTGTGCGCTGCTGATGACATCTCTTGGTCCTTTAATAAACGAGCTGAAGCGCGCATGGGTAGGCCCGATGAAACCCCAGATCACGCGAAAGGCTATGAGCCCGAGGCTGGTATAGCCAAAAAGAAAGTGTGTCTCGGTCCAATCGAAGCCTGCCTCCGCAGTGATCCATGAGCCAGCCAGGCAGAACACCAGTAACCAGTGAAACAGGCGGGTCGGCAGGTCCCAGACCAGGCTTTTCAGCGCTGGCTGGGATTGTTTTGTGATTTCGGGATTGTCTCGAGTCACGCCCTGATCTGGTGCGGGCAGATCAGTTTTGTTGGCGGTAGTCGTCGTGGCAGCCTTTACAACCTGCGCCCAGAGCACCAAACGCCTTCATCGCTGCTTCCTGTCCGTCAGCTGTTGCTGCGGCCAGTGCCAGTGCGCGCTCGGTCGCCGTATCGGTTTTTGTCTGAAAATCGCCCATGTTGTCCCAGATTTCATTCAGCGCTTCTGTTTCTAAACCCGATTCGCGAGTGTCTTTGCGAAAAACGTCAGGAATCATAGGTAGTAACATGGCCACTTTTTCGGCGTTGTTTTTCACGACGTCGGCATCGTAAGGGATCTGCCCTCTGGCCATGCCAACGATCGGTCCGAAGTAGCTGACAACAACTTTGAGTAATCCCTGGCGGGTATCAATGGCAGCCTGGGCTTGCTCGTCAGCGTCTGCAGCAACCGCAGGTAAGCCGGTTAGCAGGGTGAAACATAATGCAACAGCAATAAGGACTTTGGACATGGTGTCTCCTAGGTTTGTAGACATGTTTTTGGGAAATCTATTCATGTGGTCGCTCTGGATGATACCTAGCTCTTGGGAAGAGGGCTACACGAGACATACAGTCTGATTTTTGCAGGTTACATCGATACTAAGCTGCAATCCGGTAAATCATATAGGCAAAATAGGTGGCAACGATGGCCGCGCCCGCGCGCCTTCCGAGGCGAGCACCGCTGAATAAAAACAAGGGAATAACAACCAGCACAAAAGCAAAGCCAACGGCCAGATCCAGGTCGCCCCCCTTTGGAATCGGTATGGGTACAATTATGGCTGCAGCAGGCAGGACGACCAACGAGTTAAATATGTTAGAACCGACGATGTTGCCCAGTGCAAGGTCAGTTTCTTTTTTGTAAGCCGCGATCGCCGAGGTTACCAATTCAGGTAAGCTGGTACCTACCGCAACAATGAAAATGCCGACGACAACTTCTGGCATTTCCAGCAACCTGGCAATAGCTGAGCCGTTTTCAATGGTCAGCGTGCCGCCCACCATTAACAGGGCCATACCTGCTACCGACGCGGCGCTGTTCACTACCAACCCGGTGCGCGCAGGTGCCGGAAAGTGTTCAGCTTCAGCGAACACCGGGTCACCTGATTCTTTAACAACATCGCGCACGACAAAATAAATGAACACAGTAAACATCAAGAACAGAATGATGGCGTCGCTGCGGTCGATCAATGGTGTGGTGCCGTTAAGTGGCATGTCCCAGGCCATCACCATTAATATGGCGGTCACCAGTAAAAGGAACGGTACTTCGCGCCGTACAACCTGACCTTGAAGATAAATTGGCGACATGATGGCGGCAATGCCAAGTACCAGACCAAAGTTTGCCAGGTTAGAACCCACCGCATTACCGAAGGCGATATCTGTTTCACCTCGGATGGCACCTGTGACGTTGATCACCAGTTCCGGCATGCTGGTGCCAAATGCAACAACAGTCAGGCCGATGATCATGTTGGGTACGTTGAATGCGGCAGCAATACCGGATGCGCCGCGCACCAGTAAAGTACCGCCGACCAGAAGCGCTGCCAGGCCGAGTGCCAGTAACAGATAAACCATAAAGTAGAAGTGTTATGTCTTTTAACCCGTTCAGTATGTCCCAAGCCAGCGCCGATGGCTAAGATTCTGCTTATAAAAAGGTTGGAACCTAAGACTAACTTGGTCAGGTCATCTTGTGAGCCCGTTGTTTGACCATTAAATCGGTGCGTTCACAGTTTGCATAGGGTTGCGTATAGTCACTTCGTTTGTGGGAGAAACTAAGTGAAAGATTGGGCTGTTGGTGGTGTCAGTATTGCTGCGGCGTTGGCTGTGGCCGGATTGATAGCGTGGATGGCAGGCCCATACAGTGTTACTGCCGGTGGCTGGTCTGTTTTTGTGTTATGCGCAATGTTTGCCTTCGGCGTGCAGTGGATAGTTTTTGTGCACGCCTGGTTGACTAAAACCGAGGTCTACTACGACCTTACCGGCAGTATTACCTATGTCGTTATGGTTGGTTCGGCAGTCTTTTTAAGTGGCACGAATGATATACGTAGTCTGCTTATTGCGGGGTTCATCTGTGTCTGGGCTTTGCGATTAGGACCGTTTCTTTACCGGCGCATTAAGAAAGCGGGTGAAGATCGACGCTTTCGCAAACTTAAAACCTCGTTTCCCATGTTTCTCATGACCTGGACCTTGCAGGGCACCTGGGTATTCATCACAGCGTGTTGCGCTCTGGCGGCGATTACTTCAGTGAATCAATTGCCCTTAGCCGAACCTTTTTACATCGGCGTTGTTCTATGGCTGGTTGGTTTCTTGATAGAGGTGATTGCGGATCAACAGAAATCAGCTTTTCGTGCGGAACCCGCCAACAGCACACGTTTTATCTCAACGGGTTTATGGGCATGGTCGAGACACCCGAATTATTTTGGTGAAATTCTGCTGTGGCTGGGTATTACGCTGATGGCCTTTCCAGTGCTGCAGGGTGGTCAGTTGATTACGCTGATATCGCCTATATTTGTCTTTGTTTTATTGAACTACATCAGCGGCGTACGCATGCTTGAAGCTCGAGCGCATCGGCTCTGGGGCGATGAACCGGACTACCAGGCTTATAAGCGCCACACGCCAGCGCTGATGATGTGGCCACCCAAAAAAAAGTGATTGACTGACGACTGGCATGAACTGGGTTGATCAGTACATACCTTTGACGCTGCGGGAGGATGCGGAGCAGTGGCGGCTTGCCGCCGTTACAGTCTATGCCACGATCCTTGGCAGTATTGCTTCCCTGCTGTTTTTTCTCAGTGTTGCTGTTGCAGACGGATATGCCGGCGCGTGGCTCGGCCTATTCTGGGTCCTCCCGATTGCACTGACTTATCCGGTCATGCGAGTCACGGGTTCAGTGAATCTGGCTGGGCAATACTTCCTCTTTGCTGTGGCGGTGGGCGTCACGCTCGCCTGCGCCCTGCACGGCGGCCATTTTGTGGTTGGCTATCTTGGCCTTGCCATGGCGTCAGCGCATCTGCTGGGATTTCGGGGCGCGTTGTTTTGGACGCTGATATCTGCCGGCATGGTGCTGCTTACGCCGCAATACCTGGCTTCGCCACAGCCGCTAGCATCCAGTTTTAATCATGCGGTAGTTGCGATGATCATTGTTGTCGGTCTGGTCGCGGCAATTGTGGAGCACTTGCGTCGTAATGCTGTGGCTGAAGCTGCGAAGGCTGTAGATGAGCTCGAAAAAGAGCGCGCTCGCATGCGGACAGTGGTTGAAAGCCTGACGCCTGGGCTGATAGACGTTGAAGATGGTCGAATCACTTATATTGCGCCTGGTGTACGTGAAGTATCAGGTCACGAGCCTGAAGAAGTGGTAGGTAAGGATATTCTCAGTTTTGTGCACCCTGACGATATCAGCCGCACAATGAACTGGTTGGCGATCGCCATGCCCGGTGATTATGTCGAAATTCGGCTGCGTCACAAAGATGGTCATTGGGTCTGGATGAAGGTGCATCTGATCCCCATGGACGGCGGTGGTGAAGGTAATCGGCTGCGCCTTGCCGGATATGATGTTTCTGCAGAGCGTGACTCACGCGAACAACAGATGCGCGCGCAACGCCTGCAGGGGGTGGGTGTGTTGGCAGCAGGTGTCGCCCATGATTTTAATAATCTGCTGACGGTCATTACCGGCTTCGCCGAATTGATGCCTGACAATGAAGCTAAGGAGAATATTCTTAAAGCGTCAGACGAAGCGGCTCAGCTTGTGCAGAAGCTGATGGCGTTTGGCAAAAGCAGTCCCGTAGAAGGCGGCGGAGCTGACCTTGATAAGATACTCACTGCTTCAGAACCTGTGTTGCGAAGCTTGTTAGCTTCGGTGGGTAAACTGCATGTGAATGCGAATGTCGCAGATCTGCGGGTGCCGATTTCTGCCAGCCAGATCAATCAGATTCTGTTGAATCTGGTGACCAACGCAAAAGAGGCATTGTCGGCGGAAGGTAATGTCTGGATTGATCTTGAGGTACTGAATCTTGATCTGCCGCGAGGCGAGCTGGCTGCGGGATCTTATGCTCAGCTTACCGTGGCTGATGATGGCGCCGGTATGGAGGCCTATACCCTGGAGCATGCGTTTGATCCATTTTATACAACCAAGGCGGACCGTTCCGGAACGGGTTTGGGTTTAGCCAGTGTCTATGGACTGGTAGGGCACGCCGGAGGTGAGGTAGACGTTAAATCGGAACCTGGTAAAGGCACGGCTGTGACTCTGGTGTTGCCGCTGCAGCAGGCTGAAGAGGCAATTACGGCGCCCGCAACAGGCGTGCACCACAGCATTGGCCAGGGACGGATACTCATTGTTGAAGATGACGGGCTAATCGCAGACCTTATTGCGCGGAGTCTGGTGCAGGCCGGCTACAGCGTGACGATAAAACATGATGTTGAAAGCGCTTGGCAGCAGCTGCGCACGGATGTGCCAGATCTGTTAATCACAGACATCATGATGCCGGATGGACGGGGTACGGACCTGGCGAAACGCTGGTACCAGGCCGAGCAGAGTGATGTGCTGCCGATGTTGTTCATTTCCGGGTATTCAGATCAGGAGATTGGTGATTGGAAGGATGCCCGTGGCCCGGTGAAGTTTCTGGCTAAACCTTTTCGTACCAAAGAACTGCTCGATCGGGTGGGTGAGTTAATACAACAGCCGGCGGCTGAAGCCCCGCTTATTCAGCTGGATGGCCATTCATAGACTTTTCTGCAGGGCATCAGATTCCCAACGCTGAGCCATACGCTGCAGCCACCGTCCGGTTGCCGCGAGCTGATGTGCCTCCACAGTAAAACGTATCTGTTTGCCATGGCGTTTTCGACTGACCAGACCGGCCTGCTCTAACAGCTGCAGGTGTTTCACGATAGCCTGACGGCTGATGTCCAGGTTGACTGCAAGGGTCGAGGCGCTGATTGGCCCATGGTCCGCGATGATCTCTAACAGGTGGCGACGGGTGGCGTCTGCCAGTGCGGAAAAAACCTGGTCGACGGCAACACCGGTCATGGCTATTCCTATAATGCAACATCAGAGTTGCATTATAGGTGAGAGATTGTCTCAGTCCAGGTCTGTCATATGCTTTCGAAAAGCAGCTCCAGGCGTCCCTCACGGAGCAGAGTGCCGCGTGCTATTTTCAAAGAAAGTAAGTGTTCACTTAGCTTCTGTTGTGAGTGGGGTATGTACTTTGGTTGACTGGGAACGGTAGTCGAAATCAATGTGTCGGTGTCGGCGATGCCGTACACACTTACATCCTCCGGCCTGCCGCCGTGCAGTGCGCCAAATCCGTAACCGCGACTATTGCTGTGCAGCAGCGGCTCCAGTACGTGCGAAAGTGCGTCGATGGTGTTCAAGTCGATGAAGTGTAGATAGTCCCAGAAAAGACAGATATCTATCTGTGCGCCAGCTGGAATGGACAATTGCCGCTGGATGAAACCGGCAAGCGTCTCAAGGCTGGCATCCATGTTATTTGCAGCTATGGCCGGATTATCAGTGAGATCAGCAAAATAGACTTTGCTTTTGAAGCGGGTGAGAAAATCAACCGTGCTGGCATTGCCCGGCCCGAGGTCCAGCACAGTGATGCGGTCGCCAGGTTCATAGCCACGCAGCAACTCGGGTAGCAGGCGGCTGGTGGTGCGCACCTGCGCAGCGGTGGGTGTTCGGCTAGCTGCCCGACTCACCTACTGCCTTGTCTCGAGGTGCACCGGTTGGTGCTGATTTTGCGCTGGCTGCGGGTTTAGCTGACGCGGCTGCACTGTCGCTGCCCGGGTCCATATCGATGCTGCCCTTGAATTTGGCGCCATCTTCCAGCGTGACCCTTGGTGCAACTATGTTGCCTTGTACGCGGCCACTCTTTGAAATCACTACTTTTTCGGAGCCACTGATGTCGCCAGTGACCTGCCCATCAACCTTGACGGTTTTGGCATCCAGGTTGGCGACCACCTGGCCGGATTCTCCAATTGTCAGATCGTTCTGCGGTAAATCCACAGATCCGTCGACGGTGCCTTCGATCACCAGGTTTTCATTACCTGAAATGCTGCCTTTGACTTTGATGGTTTTACCAATCACTGCGGTGCTGCGTGGACTGAAACTTTTTTCACTGGGAGATGCTGTTACAGGGCTGCTTGTGGCGGGGCTTTCCGGCTCCGTTGAGTCTTTGCGTTTGTCGAACATGTCATAACCTCTTTGTATTGAGTGGACGCTTACAGATGCTAGACCTTAGCGGGACTATAGATCAGGAATTAGATCAACAAAACGGCAATTTACTGTCTCAACAGTTGCGCTGAGACGTCAAATATCAGGTTGGTTTGATACTTAACGTGGCCATGGAGGTTGGCATCAGCTGATTTAAAGGCGTGGCTTCGTTGTCCCAGCGGTCCTCATAGAACCCCTTGAGCACAAAACCGGCGTCCAGTTGACCGCCAATCTGATCATCAAGGCTATGGCTGAACTCAACAGCACCGCCTGCCAGCATTCTGGTTTCGATCTGCGCCGGGCTTAAATGATCCGGGTCGTTGTACGGCAGCTCAAATTTTGCAATAAATTCACCGCCACGTTCGAT